GATGGATCGGTAGTACTGAACTTGATGGGGTTAATAAAAAATTTATTTGGGTACTGTTCTTGATATGGTTCTAAAAACGAACCCTAATCCTAATTGTTTTTCACTATAGTAGTATAGTATTTTAGATGTTCTTTTTTAGAACCTTATTAAGAACAATATGTGGATTATTTTTTTTTTTGCTATCTATCAAAAACAGTACCGACGATCTATCAAAAATGGTATTTTTGCTATATAATGGATTTATAATGAATTTTTTAAAAATTTAATATTTGTTATATCCCTTATCTGTTAATAATTATTTCTAATTACCTACTAAAGACAGGATATCTGCCATATGTGAAATAGATGTAGAACTAATATGCCATTGCGCCTGAATAAAAATAGATAATTGCAAAGCTTTATTTGATTCATTTGGGTTTATTGCTAAATATACTGACGGTGTTAATTTTTGGGATGAGCCGATAGGAAAGTCATGATCAGAAACGGATACAGGCTCACGAATAGTTTGCATAGTTCGAAAATGTTTTCCCACAGCTGGAATACCGACCGTGACTTTCACTTTATCATCTTGTGAGAGTACTACAGAAAAATCTTCAAAGGTCGCAGCAAACTGTCTTGCATTCTTGACGGATACAAGACAATAATGCTTGTTCACATGGTTGCTTCTCTTATCTCTTGAAACACCTGCAATACTAACAAAAGCGGGATGGTGGTGGGCTCTTGCAGCTAAACTGCGGTTCGACCGAGGTAAGATGTAGTTTTTCATAGTTGTTCAGGACATGTATATATTATAATTTTCTTCTAAAGCACTTCTAAAATGTTTCACTGTTCTAACCTTAATGAGTTCACGTCTTCTTCATACATCAGCTTCCCCAAATTCTATGCAGTATTGAATATGTTCATGAAGATTTGGGTGCTGAAATAGAAGGGGTGGACGTCCGGGAGAATCATACCTTATGACAACATTATCATCTTCAAGTGCCCAAAGTTTTTTCATTTCAGATTTTTGTTGGTTATGTGCATGCCTTTTGAGTTTTTTAAGTTGTTCTTCTTCTTCTTTCATTCCTTTTCAAACTACAGTTATCCATAAACAAGGTCATTATGAAGCTGAATATTAGTTGTTATTGAATTCATTGTATTTAATTCTTCTAATTCTTTTTGTAATCTTTTTATTGCGTTAA